CCGGAAGTGGTACATGCACTACTTTCGGTTCCTCAAAAGCCAATAATTTGAGTCCCATTTTAGTAATGTGGACGAAATTCACCTATAAATACTACATTGAACGCGCATGTTTCTTTCAAATTTTGAACGAGTGTCAGAAAACTGAAGTGGTACTTGATTCTTTTTTTATTGTCAACACTATAACTTGAGTATTTTTCCATATGTAAGTATAAGTTTTATAACTGGGTCACTTATCGTTTTTGAGTGACCTCCGATAAACGGAAACGGTACTTTACTCTATTTCTGATTTCTAAAATACCGATAATTTAAGTACTGTTTCAGTTAGGCAGACCAAATATTAAATTTAGGTTTAAGTACTTATACTCTTGTTTCTGTCAAATTTTAAATGATTTCCGGGGTACCGGAAGTAGTACTTTAGGCTAATTTCAATTTCATAAAATAGGTAAGCAATATTTCATTTATAAAGTACTTCAGTTGTTTGCTTTTGGAGTTGTCTCTCTTGGAAGATAGGCTGCCCCTAGCTAACGAGCCTCATCTGCCCGAGTGTATGAACTCAAGACTTTTCGGTTTAGCAACCATGAGCAACCACGCCGAGGCCCCCCCCTTTTTTTTTTCTTTAAAGTACTCATTTTCCGCTCTATTATACACACAGTTTGTACGCGATTATTTTTTTCTGGTCTGTTCAATTCTACTTTAGAATGTAGGTATATTGGGGAGGGGTTGGGTCGTGGGGACGGGGGGAAGGTATGGGGTTTAAGCATGTTGGTTCAACAATTTAAACAAAGGCTAATTTTAAACATTTTTACATAAACGAGAATGAAAATTTGTAACGTGGTGTAAAGAAAGGCTGATACAACAAGAATTTTAAAAAAAACATGGTGCAGAGAATATAGGTTGGTGTGTTTGCACTGGTAGGAGAATAGTTGTTTAATCTTTAGTTGTGTATTAGTTAACAAACGAAAATATTTTGATCAAGATGGAAAGGGTTGACTGCTAGAGTGGGAGGGTGGGGGGGTTCACTACGGACCGGTCGATGCGGTGGTTCGTGTTTAGAATATTGTGCTATTTAGAAAAAAAAATAGAACTAAAATATCAAGAGTCAAAATTAGCATTATAACAAACTGTCATTCCACATTCAATTATATATAAATTTTCTAAACAAACGCCGCTAAAGTTAATACATTTTAACTAGACTAAAAAGAATTCTTCCAAATAGAACTAAATAATACAATTATACAATACCTAGTTTTACTTACAATCATATATAAATTAATTTGAGAATTTTAAGCTATTTCTTGCAGAATAGTTTATTACTTCATTTTTCTGCATTTAATGACTTTTGTGAACATAGTTTATGGTTGCTTCCCTTGAATATTTGACCGATTTTAAGATAACTAATATTTGATACGTTTCGAAATTGCTGTAATGCATATATTAATCGGCAAGTTATAATTTGACCATGTTGTAATTTATTTATGTATAGAATAGAATTAGAATAAAGTAGGTCTCAGTGTTTTCAAATGAAAAGGATTTTTAACATAAAGCTTTATTCATATGTATTTGTTAATTTGGTTCAACGTTTGTCAAAATTTCCTTCAAGCCTTTACAAGCAAACCAAAGACCTAAGGACAACATCTTCCATATTTGGTAAAATTCCGCCTTGCTGTACGTCACTATACTCGTGCATACTATATTATACTTTATAACATCTCACTATACTGTTATTTGTTATACTCAACCATGTACTTAACCTTATATTAAACATTACCCAACTCTTATGCACAGGGTGCAGAATAAATGTCTCTCTCTACAGAAGACACAATACTCAGACACACCGAAAGCCACACTGATCCAAGCACTAAGCAAACAACGTCTACCAGTAGCCCGTGTGTCTTTTGTTCACTCCCTTTCATATCGCGTTTGTTTGTGGTAGATAAACCTTTTGTCCTGTGCTAATCGATTTCCGATCGGCTCTAATTACTTGTTGTTTACATATTCAAGTAAAAACAAACTGCCTAAAAAGAAACGTTTTCCTTTTCTGTCAGGAATATATATATATATATATATATATGTATATATATATATATATATATATATATATATATATATATATATATATATATATATATATATATATATATATATATATATATATATATACATAAATATATAGGGACTATATTATATATAGGCCTATATATATATATATATATATATATATATATATATATATATATATATATATATATATATATATATATTGCCCTATAATTGTGCAGCTTGTAAGCTAGTAATGTTATATCGGGTGGATTAAATTTCTTACACCAAATACGGTGCTTCCTACTGCGTTGTACTGCGACTTCCATGTGTACACTCCTGTGTTTAGCCAACCATGACAACCTACACTGGGCACGCCCCACTGGAGCAGAAAGTTACTGGAAACTTGTTCACAAAAAAAAAACATTATTGGCTTTTTTTATCGACGTATATTTTATTGTCTGCGTTTTGGTGGCTTTTGTCTGAACAATGTTGCATGTAGTTGTTTCTACAATGGGAGTTTAAATATACATACATACATACATACATACATACATACATACATACATACATATATATATATATATATATATATATATATATATATATATATATATATATATATATATATACACACACATATCATTCTTGATTCTACAGAAAATATCTACATTAGGGAAGTGTACTTTTGTTAGTTCTTTTTTGATGTTCTGTTCAATTCGAAATTTGATATTTTATCAATAGAATTAGGAAATGCACTTAAGGGCCTTATTTAGATTACAAGTGATAACTAGCGTTTAAATTCGAAGATTGTAGATTAATCTTTTTTTAGCACATTTAATGCATAAACTAGGCATCTTACTATCGTACTAAGCTGGTCAGAGTTTCGTGAGGTGGAATATATATATATATATATATATATATATATATATATATATATATATATATATATATATATATATATATATATATATATATATATATATATATATATATGTGTGTGTGTGTGTGTGTGTGTATATATATATATATTTATATATATATATATATATATATATATATATATATATATATATATATATATATATATGTGTGTGTGTGTGTGTGTGTGTAGATAGATAGATAGATAAATAGATAGATATAACCTGATGTTTCCTATTCACTATATATTATAATAGATATCTTAGATATATTTATCTAGATGAAAACCTTGTGCCATTGAATGTGTTTATGCTAGCTAAGACCCCCAACAAACCAATGCTTCAATTATTCATTTATCGACTCGATAGCTGTATTGTGGGATCCAATACAGCATCACTGCTTGTTTAACTGTACAGTTTACGTGTAACATTTGCATCGGTTGATATAACACTGTTTTTTCTGTTTGTTGATTTTTCTTTCAGTTACCTTCCTTAAAAACCCGAAGTATAGATTTTAAAAAATACTTTGTTGTAATTGTAAATGGTGATGTGTGTTTGACAAGACCCCGTGATAATTAGGCCTAAACTTTTTAATTATACGAGAACTTAGATTATGATTAGTGTTAACGGTTGGTAAAGGTTAGTGTAAGATAGAGTTGTCTTAGTTTACAGATCAGAAAGAGATTTATAGTAAGACTCCCTTAGGATGATAAATCTGAATATAAGACAAATGTTTGCACTCGACATTTAAGAATCGACTTAAAACAGGAATGTTTATTGTATCTGTACATATTTATATAGTTGATTTTACAATGTATTCACGTCTATTAATTAACTACTCTAAACCTGTTCACACATTAGATATTTGAGAATAGTTTGTAAATAAAATAATACTATGTTAAGTTACTCTGTAAAGTTCGAATCCGGGTTCAAGTCAGTAGAATGTCTCTGAGCCCACCTATCGTTAATGGGTATCTAATTCACGTATGGAAAAAGACAGCGGCTGGGCATAGTGTTGACACATTATCCCTTCATATGCCGAGTTCTCTGAAACACATGAACTCTACTTCATTATCCCATGTGTCTTGGGCACCAACGGGAAAAAGTGGCTGATAAAGTAAAGCTACTCTTTCCAGCCTCGGTGATCCATGGGGCAGATGAAGTAGAGTTCACCAGTTTCTGATACCTCGGCATAAGAAGGAAAATGAGGTCAGAGCTACCCCAAGTCACCTTATCGTTGGTCTTGTTCAGATCAAAGTTGGGTGACAAAAGGGACGCACTACTGACTCTAGACGGGGATTTGAACTGGTGACTTTACAGTTTCTCGAGCTCTCTACCGGTCGGCCACGCCGTCTGGACAGTATTACTAAAATACCATATTTTTAAGTGACGAAATTCCCCCCCCCCCCCTTACACGCACCGAAAAATTTAGTTACAATTTTTTAATATACATTTATAAAAGCTAATAAATTTATAAATAAACATTACCTTTGTAACCTATGCAACAAATCCACCCTTGGGTTTCTTCCAGGCATTTCTTCGCCCCCCCCGCCTCCGGAGAAAGTCTACCGCGACCCCCCCCCCCCCCCCCCCAACGAAATGGAATTTATGTGGAAAATTTATAATTTTACCAGTGCCCGCCCAACTTCCGGAAAATTTAGTCCGTCTCCCCCCCCCCCCCCCCCCAAAAAATGTAAGGTGCCCCCATCCCGGAGAAATAGTCTGAAAAAAACACTGCCCCCCCCCCCCAACTGCCAATCCAAAACCCCCACACCCATTAGCTCCCACTTAACTACAATGTAACACAACTACGTACACAGTTACAGTAGCTACGTTTGTTTAAGTATACAACAAAAGCTTCCCTTGCCAACGATGTATCAAATCTTGCCACTGATTACATCTTTACAATATGACAAAAGCCACCCCTTGGTTACTTCCGCTGCCTGACAACAACATCCCACTCCCCCCTCCCCCCCCCCCCCCCCCCCCCATACCCCGTGGTACCGGTTTCATACCTACATTTTTTTTTCTTCCTACCCACAGAAAGAGGAACAATGCTGAGACGTCAGTCCATTTGTTGCTGAGATGAAAACAAACCCACTCGAGATGCTGGATGAATTATTTCCCTTGTTCGATCCAGCCCGCAGATTGTAAAACCGCTGGGGTCTACGCAAAACAGAATTACATTAACCGACCATCATTATTGGAAAATAATCGAAGATCATTTTCAACGGGGTTTTTTTTCTTTATACATTGGCGTGTGACTTTTTTTTTAACTGCTAGAAGTTCTTCATGTAAAATAGTGAGACTTTAATTAGTTGGACGCTTGGAAGAGATGCAACTATAACTCACTCGGAGAGAATAACCACCTTACTACCGGTGATAAAAACACACAACTGTTGTTTACAAATTTTTGTTGTGTAATAAAACAACGAGACTGCTCATATTCGGACGACTTCTAGATTAGTCACCTCGTGAGCGATTTCTTCTTCCACAATGCCAAAAGCTAAAGGTAAGGGAACTTTCTTTTATTTTTACGTCAGAAAACTTATAACAAAAACACTCCAATTTGTTTGTTTCGATGTGTTTATTCTACAATTTAAATTTATTAGACAAGAATATGAGCAGTCGTTCAATATGGATTCAACAAATTATAATAAATTTAATTTAACCCATTACTTTTCTTGTGATATTTTAAGACAAAAAGGCGGATTAAAAAAATAGATTTTTTCTAAACAAATAAAATGTTTAAAATAATATCTGTGTACATATTTTGAAAGTTTATCTTACATCATATATATATATATATATATATATATATATATATATATATATATATATATATATATATATATATATATATATATATATATATATATATATATGTGTGTGTGTGTGTGTGTGTGTGTATGTATGTATATAATTATGCATCGAACATTTATGTAAGCATGTATGTATGCATAACAAGAAATATGTCTAACTATATATAAATTTCTAGTCATACACATTTCTATAAATAAGTGTGTGTGCATGTATGTATATATATATATATATATATATATATATATATATATATATATATATATATATATATATATATATATATATATATATATATATATATATATATATATATATATATATATGCTTTTCTTTGTCTTAAGCCAAACAGTCCTATATCTTACTAGTCGAAAGTCCCACCAAAGTACACTAGAAACCAACCTTTTCGTACCCTTAATTCACCATTACACCTTGCATCATTAACACCATAGCGTGCCTAAGTCACCTAAAGCTCAAACCTATCACCGCTTGACTTCTCCAGATCTCATTAGTCTCGCATCAGGGCGAGAAGTTGACCATTACTTATCAAATGTTTATCTCCCTTACTATTACGTTCATTGATTCCGTCCCTTTACTCATCCCTTAAAAAAAACGTATATCGTATAGATTCATCTCATTGATTCGCGACAAGAACTTGATTGCCCGTGAAACGCTATGTTTATTTATTCATGGTACTTCCATGGTCACGCTATTTACTGCAACTTTTTTTTCGGTTACGACAACAGGAATTTACCTATAAACATAATATACCTATTTTTTCTGAGACCATCATGGAAAATGTTTTTTTTTGTTAAACAAAAGTAAGTCTTATTGGGTTATTTGTACTACGTTTGATAATTTTAGTGTTAGGGTTTAAGTTAAAGACGTTAATATGTTAAAAACTAGAGTTAGGGTTTAATTAAGGTTAACTTTACGGCTGGTCGTGATTTACATTTAGAGTTAAACTCAGGATTAGTTAATTGTAAGAATAGTTGAGTGTTGTAGGCTAAAGCTTGTTAAATTTTCTAATTAGATAGTGTTTACGGGGTTCGATCTGTGTTTAGCTATCAATCATTGTAGGACTCAAATTAAGTACAAATCTAAAGTGATAACATTTCTGCTTTAAGCTATCAACCATTGTAGGACTCTAATATAATACAGTATTAATCTACCTTTAACATTTCTGCTCTAAGTTATCAACCATTGTAGGACTCAAATTAAGTACAAATCTAAAGTGATAACATTTCTGCTTTAAGCTATCAACCATTGTAGGACTCTAATATAATACAGTATTAATCTACCTTTAATATTTCTGCTCTAAGCTATCAACTATTGTAAGACTCTAATATAATACAGTATTAATCTACCTAAAGTGTTAACATTTCTGCTCTAAGCTATCAACTATTGTAGGACTCTAATATAATACAGTATTAATCTACCTAAAGTGTTAACATTTCTGCTCTAAGCTATCAACTATTGTAGGACTCTAATATAATACAGTATTAATCTACCTTTAACATTTCTGCTCTAAGCTATCAACTATTGTAGGACTCTAATATAATACAGTATTAATCTACCTTTAACATTTCTGCTCTAAGCTATCAACTATTGTAGGACTCTAATATAATACAGTATTAATCTACCTTTAACATTTCTGCTCTAAGCTATCAACTATTGTAGGACTCTAATATAATACAGTATTAATCTACCTAAAGTGTTAACATTTCTGCTCTAAGCTATCAACTATTGTAGGACTCTAATATAATACAGTATTAATCTACCTTTAACATTTCTGCTCTTAGCTATCAACTATTGTAAGACTCTAATATAATACAGTATTAATCTACCTAAAGTGTTAACATTTCTGCTCTAAGCTATCAACTATTGTAGGACTCTAATATAATACAGTATTAATCTACCTTTAACATTTCTGCTCTTAGCTATCAACTATTGTAGGACTCTAATATAATACAGTATTAATCTACCTAAAGTGTTAACATTTCTGCTTTAAGCTATCAACTATTGTAAGACTCTAATATAATACAGTATTAATCTACCTAAAGTGTTAACATTTCTGCTCTAAGCTATCAACTATTGTAGGACTCTAATATAATACAGTATTAATCTACCTAAAGTGTTAACATTTCTGCTCTAAGCTATCAACTATTGTAGGACTCTAATATAATACAGTATTAATCTACCTAAAGTGTTAACATTTCTGCTCTAAGCTATCAACTATTGTAGAACTCTAATATAATACAGTACTAATATCTACCTACAATATAATAAAATTTTCTGCACTATGAGATGCGAAAGCGCCAAATGTTTCAATGCCTAGCTGGTCGGTGTCCCCGATAAATAATTTAATGTTATATCTCGGGACAGTTGATTAGTGATAGACATAATGGGAAAATATCAGAACATGTATAAGTAATTTACAATGGAGAAATATCAGAACATGTATAAGTACTTTACAAAGGAGAAATATCAGAACATGTATAAGTACTTTACAATGGTGAAATATCAGAACATGTATAAGTACTTTACAATGGTGAAATATCAGAACATGTATAAGTACTTTACAATGGTGAAATATCAGAACGTGTATAAGTACTTTACAATGGTGAAATATCAGAACATGTATAAGTACTTTACAATGGAGAAATATCAGAACGTGTATAAGTACTTTACATATAGATTTTTTACACTTGATGAAATGGTGGTTCGGTAAACAGAAAGTATCGCCACTTGGATCAGTAGATCCGTGGTGAAATTCTAGTAAAGGCGACTGGCCAAAGTGCTGACCACACTATCCCTACTTATGGCGAGGTCACTGGAGCAGGGGCGTCGCTAGGAAAATAAATAAATATGTGTGTCGGCCTACATAGGCCTATAATTTAAATATATGCCGCATACGCGTACATGTATGTGCATATGCGTTAGTCACTGCAGACTTAATAGTAACGAATTTGATCTATAGTATGTTAATAATAAAGTTGGATGTAGCATTGTTTAATTTCTTTTCTCTTTAATTAGCACGTTTACGTCATCTGGACACCCCCCCACCCTCTTGTAGTAATTGTCGATCTGTACTTAAAAGAATATTAAACTTTAATTAATCATTAACGGAACTGGCAAAAAAAAGCATTTTTCTTCTGTATATTTTGCTATATTTTGCCTTGGTGTCACCCCCCTAAATGGTGTCACCAGCACCCCCCGCCCCGCCCTCGCTAAGCCTCTACAATGGAGCATTGTGAACTCTACTTCACCTACCACATGGACCTTCATTTTCGAAAGGGTACTTTAATTTAAAAATTATCACAATTTAGAACAGAATAACGAAGAAGAAGCCGTTTCTGTTAAGCAATCATGAAGTTAGAAAACCGACCACAGTTTTATTTTAAAACAGAGGCTTTTTTAGAGAGAGAACCTGACTGTAGACTGACTCACTACAACACTAATCCCACATAACGCTCATCAGAGGATTAGTGGCAGTCTATAAGAATTAATCCCCTCTGAAAGAGTAACAAAAAAAATTGCAAGTACATGAAATATTGCACGGACACACTTTTCAATGCTACTGCATAGTAAACGGGGATTAAAATATAAGTGCTGGCAAATATTCGACCATAAAATTTTATGAATCAAATTTCTTAAAGTTTGACACCGAAATCGTCATAAAAATCAAGTTTTATTTCATTCCTTTGGTTAAACTTTATTTGTTAAATTTTAATGTATGTATAAAATTAATTAAGCGGAAAACATGTATTTAGAACTCGTCTATTAGCGTGGTTTAGATTTCATCGTATAAATAAATAAAAAATTTGCTGAAAGAGTTTTGACTCTGAACGAAGAAGATTTCTCCCAGACGAATGCCTTGAATGCAGCAGACAGGATGAATGGACGTCACGAAGTAGCAGACGAGAGCTGGTGTGTTTGAACAAGGGCAGGTAACTGCCGTTTTCGGTGCGGGGCGGAGGGGGGGGGGTGTTTGCCCGCCATGTTAGAGTGAATAGTGAACGTCGGGTTAAATTGATTGAATGATTTAATTGATTTTTGCTTTGGTGTACACCGAATGAAAAAAAAAAGTTATTGGTTATGTGATAGGTTGTTGTTAAAAGGCTATACTTCAACTGTAATCTGGGTCGGGTTATAATACCTGAACAAAGGATTTGAAGTTTGGGAGTCGAGAAAATTTTTAAAAAAATGTTTCAAGTTGAAATAATCTGTGTTAATATAAATTTGAGAATAAAATAATATGTAAATACGTTACTTGTCAGATGTTAGAGTGTCCGCTATTTGTACATATCACAGTTTTTGACAACGTAAACAATGACACTTTTATCAGCATACAACGAATAACATAAACGTATAAAGTAGGTAAGTCAAGAATCCATGATAAGGGATTGTACTTTCATATCAGAATCAATGTATTGATTTGTAATTTGCAATAAACATTTTGTAACGTTCATTATTTGGTAGATAATTAATAAACCAGAATTAAGGATGTATCGTTTGGATATAATGTAAATGATTGATAGTCAGTAGCAATCGTGTAAACTAGGTTAAAAAAACAGCCAAGAGCGGCGTTAGAAAAACTATAGTGGTCTTAAAATGACAGACAACAGAAGTGTTTAGAAAGACAGACAACAGTAGTGTTTGAAATGACAGACAATAGTAGTGTGTAAAAAG